ACAGTCCAACACTCCAGCATGATCCTACGCAGACGCTACAGCTGGAAGTCTATTACATTCTCTGAGTACACAGGCAGATTTATGTCTGTTTTTGTAAGAAGTGTAAAGATTACTTAATATTACTAATTTAATTTATTTTTGGTTTATAAGTTTTGAGTTTGAAGGTCACAGTTAGCATCATGATTTGTAACCCTGGACCACAAAAACGAGTCATAAGGGCCAATTTCATTGAAATTCAATTGATGTCTGGTTTGTTAGGATAGAACAATATTTGGCCGAGATACAACTATTTGAAAATCTGGAATCTGAGGGTGCAAAAAAATCTAAATATTGAGAAAATCGCCTTTAAAGTTGTCTGAATGAAGTTCTTAGCAATGCATATTACTAATCAAAAATTAAGTTTTGATATATTTACGGTAGGAAATTTACAAAATATCTTCATGGAACATGATCTTTACTTAATATCCTAATGATTTTTGGCATAAAAGAAAAATCGATAATTTTGACCCATACAATGTGTTTTTGGCTATTGCTACAAATATACCCCAGCGACTTAACACTGCTTTTGTGGTCAAGGGTCACATTTTGTTATTGCAAAGTCATTTTCAGATCCCGTTATCGCTTCTGTCTATATGATTTTTATCTCTTTATTTATTTTGAATAAAATGTCAAAAGATATTTACTTAAAATCATGTAATATAATCTACTAATGCAAATGAGTCTCTTATAAAACTATACAGATGCATATAATATCCTTTTTTTTCCTAGCTCCAGAAAGCTCAGCAGGTAAACGAGAGACCAAAGGACGCAAAACTGTGGCCATACTTCCAGGATGGCTTAAGGCGGATAGATTATGTCCTCACCTATCATGTCCAGAAACCCCAGAGCACCCACAAACAGTCATCCAAGTCCTGCTTGTGCTGCGGATTCAAACGTGAACAGAAAAACCCACCTACTCATGAGGACCCCGAACTCGCAGCCCAGGAGCAGAGGCTGGATTACCATGAGGACGACCAGCGCCTCCGCAGGGAGGAGTTTGAGGAGAACCTGCGAGAAATGGGCCTTGAGATGGAGAAAGAGGAAGGGGTGAGTCCCACTGTGTTTTCATTTACAGTGGGGTTCATTAAAATCTGGGATTCATAATCTAATTTGACACAAAATAAATAAGTCATTTTTCAGTATTTAAATGTAATTTTTACAATGCCTACAGGCAGTTATTTAGGGCATCCAAGACCAAGTCCTACTTATTTGAATGAGGAAATCCTAAATTTTCAAAAGCTGCTTGACACACTCACATTTGAATGACATAATCTGACATTAAACCTGACATTAACAATCCTATAAATCTTGTTTCTACTGCTTAAATAGAGTTTTTAAAAGCTTTTATTTCAGGCTGGACTAGCCAATGCATATGTGCTGTCCTATAATGCGCATGTCCTAAACGCACATCCTATGGTTCTTTTATTTAAAAGGTGGGTATTATTCCGCCATATTGCATGTTGCATTTTTTTCCATTCATAAATAATGAGTACACCATCTTTGTATATCTAAAAGTTAAAACCAAGAACCATAACTATAAAGATAACTAACGAAAACTGTAATGATAACTATAACAAAAACTATATTCCTGTACACACCAACCCCTGCAGTTCTGTCATCTGCTGCTTTAAATGCTTGAGCTCTTTAAAGCCATACAAATTCTGATTGGGGCTATTCTTTTAAATTTGAACCCTTTTTTTTTTTTGGTGTGACCAGTCAAGTCTGTGAATGAATTGGACAACTGGAAATAGACTTATTTTTATGTTTTTGAACCATGGGGTATATTTTCAAAAACTAGGGGACATTAGCCGATTTCACACATTAAACCTGGTAAATTACCATTAAAATTGCTGAATTTTCTTTACTGGTGAATAAGACAACATTTCATTTACATTTATGCATTTCGCATAAACGACTTAAAAGATTTTACTTCTCAGCTAGCTTCCAATCTAGCTGTGAAATAATTCTCCCAGTGTAGACTATGTGCATTGCTTGCTCTGTGATGAATTGTTTATGTTCCTCTATTGTAAGTCACTTTGGATAAAAGTGCCAGCTAAATGCATAAATGTAGTAGTCATTTTTATAACTTCTAATCCTGGTATTTCTCAAAAGGCCCTGTTCATACATGAACTCTAACAGTAATTCACCAGTAATTTACCAGAAAATATTATGTGTGAAAGAGCCTACTGTGATTTGCCTTTTTGTAAGTTTCTGTCACCAAGGCTATAAATTCAGCTGGAGTTCTGCCACTGCGAATGATACCATCCACCCACTGAGAGACGCAACCATGCACATCAACTCTAGCAATGCAACTAACGACTGATAAATTGGCTTGTTAGCCAAGCATTGGACCAAACTTCATGTAGACTTTTAACAGTCTGGATGCGTGAGACTATCGTCCTCATGAAAATTTAATTCAAAGACCAGACCGCTGAAATGGCAATATGTTTGAGGCTGATACATTACTTTGATCCTAAATTCCTTTGTGTATTATGACCATTATTTGTCTTAACCTCTCTAGCTTTTTAAATGAATTCAGGTTTAAGTGATTCAGTTATACAGCAGCAAAATCATTCCCTGTTGTTGACCCAGTTTTGAAACACTTCAGTGGTGTGGAGGACTACACTAATAATGTTATTTGTCAGCAGGTATCTTCTCAGTGATGTTTCCCAGTGATAATATTTTTCTCATTTTTTATTTTATTTGACAAGCCGTGGAAACACTAAGTCGGCTTGTAGAAATGGTAAAGCAGTTTATTACATATTATTGACATTAAAGAGTTGTCACGCTTAGGATACATGAAATTATTTCTCTAAATTGTTCCCCAGTCCCGCCAACACCTATAATTGCTAATTGTAAGAATGAATTCATTTGATTGTTGGCAATCATAAAACAAGTTCATACTTACTTAACTGTGTAATGCTGCTAATTTGCAGTTTTATTATGATTAGTGGCTTGTCTTTCAAGCTTCACTTCTATAAACCCATGTCATATGCTTTGATGTTCGCAGATTACAGGGATTTCACTTTCTCCACTACGCTGGATGTTCTCATAGACAGCTCAGCCAGAATTAGGTGAAGAGGTCTTAGTGGACTAATCATCAACAAAGTGAAGTGTTTATCGTGCAGAGGATAATAAACTGAAGTATTACTCGAAAGGACTAAGATTAGGAGCTCTCCTAAAGTACGGAGAATTGCTTCCTGAATATAAATAATTTGGGTTCACTTTAGTGCTGGGTGGTATAACCAAAAAATTTATATCACGGTATTTTTCGAAATTATACCGGTTTCACGGTACATGACGGTATTTTTTTTTTTCATGCATGACCGGGTGTTAACCATATTTTCTACTGATTGAGAGAGGAAATACTGCAGTATATTGACTTAGAATGCCCTATTTTACTGTCATGAAGAGTGAAAATTGTCAAAAAATACCACACTACATAGTGACTAAACACGACCCATTTTAATACATGTTAACCAGGAGTCACTCTCATTTATAATCGCACTCATCTACACTAAAGAGCGGCTATGCGTTTGTTTTGGTTATATTACTTTTTTGTCTCATGCAGCGCACTGCCTGCGTCTGAGTAACAAACTAAAAAAAACAACAAACAAAAATGTGCATGTGATATTAATGCGCTGCTTCTCTGCTGCTCACTGCACAGAACAGACGCGGAGAGAGGCGACACTTCTCCTGGAAAGTCAGACCTCGACTTCGCGGGACAGCACTGGCGAAATCTTCCAACTGAACCATAGCTAAGGTTTATCCAAAAAAGTCGCTAGGTTTGTCAGTATGAATAGTCTATGGAAAAAAGCCGCTAAAAGGGTTGCTAAAGTCGCGCTCGTGTGTGTGAGACGCAGGAGCTGATGGCAGGGGGCGGTGGATATTTGTGGATATTGGGGATGAGTTCTTCTGTGTCATCACGTTCTATTAGTTCTACAGCTTCAGTTTCGGTACTTTCACGCTTAGTAACACATACAGCTGTTCCCTCACCACAGTGCAACAGTGAAAAGGGACCCCTTTCAAACAGTGTCGTGTTCCGAACATTGTTTAAGCGACATACACCGGTATTGCAGTATTTTAAAAATTCATATCATAACAAAAATAAACACCGGTATTCGGTATGAACCGGTATACCGCGCAGCACTAGTTCACTTTAATATTCGGATTATTGTTTGTTATTTCATGTCACACAGGGTCTTATATCAAGACATTTTTAGCTACCTCTCTTTCCGAGTTGAATTATGTCACATGAATATTATTGCTGAACTTTAAAGAATCATATTATTTCACCTCAGACCCAATTTTGTGCCAGAAACAAAATTTTTTTCAGTATAAAAAGAATCACTGTGTTTTTTCCACATAACTCTTGAGTTTGGCAAGGCCAATGTGAATGAAAACATAATGAAATACTGATACTATAAGAAAAACTTGCTCTGTTTGAATCGTGTTGTCAAAAATGATGATGTCTCTCGCCTAAACTAAGATCAAACCATTGGGTTTAGAGAGGGAAAAATTAATAAAATAATGTTTTGAAATCTGTTTTATTCTAAGTTATTTTGTCTTATACACGGAAGAAACACTAGCAAGACACACAACTAAAACGGTACCATGTTAAGATGTTATTTTTTTATTTAATTGGGGTTGAATTAGACTTGTAAATACTTGTATATAATGTAGTCTAAGAGCAGAAATACCTGTTTATGTTGTTCTTCACTGAAAGCAGTGGCTGTGAGTGAACAGACTGGGTCAGACCTTGTGTGTGGGATGTGAGTTATAACAAGAGTGGGTCATTTGAAGCAAATCTTACATAACCCTCTTTTCAGCTTCAGAAAACCAAGAGAGAAGTCCTTCTCTTCACAGCTGAGAGGTTTTTTTTTCTTCATTTCTGTGAATTTCTCTCAAAAGGTCCTTTGTGAAGAAGAAAACCTAGTGTGTTAAACTCTTGAAAAGAGATCTTGTCCATTTCTTGGATAGTTTATGAATGGCTTGCATGTTTATCTTTCAGAATACTGTGTATGAGCAATGTTGATAGTGGTGCTTATCAATGATAAGCATCCCTATTAATATCGCTCATACTTAGAGTTGAACCCAAGGTTTTTATATTAATTGCATAATTCTCACACCATTTGATGAAAATGTGTGAATGATATCTACTGTAAAATTGTGAATCTTTTTGAAAAGTGGTGTGCTATTAACATAACTTTTATGTTCGACAGAAGAAGGAAAATCATTCAGGTTAAAAATATATATATTTTTTGCCTTGCAAGGCTTTGTTTTTAAAATAAGGAAATTAGTTTGGCTGTACTTGCAAAATAGTAAAACGAACATGACAAAGAATCGTGATTTTCCAGAAACAAATCATGATATGATATTTTTGGCCATATCGCCAAACCCTACGTACAATAAAAACAGCCAAAACATTCCATAGATTTAGATGGACTTGGGATCGACCGACCAATATGTAGGTGCCAGTATACCATAGAGACTTGGGGGTGGGCTTTTTAACTTGGGCCAGTAAGCAACCACTCAAGTTTTGCCAGTGCAAACACCACTCACGTTTTCTTCAAAGAGCAAAAAGCCTGTGATATGTGCTCTAACATGTTCTGCAATATCACCCTCCTTCCCTCAAGGTGATTTTAATGCTGAGAACACCACAGCGTGCTGTTCGTATGCTGAGGCCATGTTTCTTTATCTTTGTTTTTCAGACAAAACTACCAGGTGTGGGATTCTTGAAGATTCATGCGCCTTGGGACGTTCTTTGTCGAGAAGCTGAGTTTATGAAGCTCAAAATGCCAACAATAAAGGTATATTGTCTTGAGTCTTATCAAGCGATAAAGAGAATCTGTGTGCTCTACACAAACATGATGTGCTCTGCTGTGCTATCATGTCATTTTCAGAAATATGAAGTCAGTCACGGAAGCAGCATTGCAGAGAAGGTCAACCTGTTTATCCAGAAAGTCACTGCACCCTTGCAACCTAACGTTGGGGAAAACCAGACGGAAAATGAGAAACCCCTCTCCTACCCATTCTCACGAGAAAAGCAGCATCTGTAAGTCTATAGTCATTCATTGCCACACTAAGCTCATGTTTAAGATGATTGCTGACCTCCTAGGCATTTTCATTCATTGACTACAGTGAATGAAAATGATCACACATGATTTTGCCAAATGCTAGTTTTAATGTAGAAAACAATATGCGATTGTTATAATTGTTCAAGTTAAAGTAGTGAAGTATGATGGATGGTCACTAATAATCCTCTGAAAGGCAGTGTACTGTAAATGCGCCTTTGGTTTTTACTGCCCCATGGAATGTTATTGCCTGTAAAATTGAATAGGGAGGCATAAAACAGTCAATGAAATGACACGCAGTTTCTTTTCACAGCTTTGATTTATCAGACAGAAATTCCTTCTTCGACAGCAAAACCAGGAGCTCAATAGTAAGTACCAGTCCTCTTAGAAAACTGTTTTGCCTACCTAGTCAGGGACGATTTAAGACCCAATGTCATTTATCCCCTGATTTGATTACCAAAGGGCCCGTGTGGCTCCACACCAAAATGTCAGTGACGTCAAACTTGTTCTTTTCGTGGACAATAATCTCAGTCACTTGATCTGTCAGCTGCCTCTTACAATGCTGTCCAACCTCAAATTGATTTTCTCAGCAGGGTTTATTTATTCTTGCTATTTTAGGTCTCTTAAAGGTATCCTGTGATATTTAGAATGTCCGTTGTCTACTGTTTAATGTTACATCTTGAGTCTAATTATTATCAATCAGGAGTTATATTTATAATCATCTTTATAATCATCAACAGGTGTATGCGATTTTAAAACGAACAAAATGCACAAGGGCCAAGTATATCGTGGGTAAGTCTCATCTTCTTATTTTTGCTTGACAAGCTAGTGCAAATCAACCTGAATCCCATCCAATAGTGTTGCTGAATTGAAATGTTATCAAAAATCAATGGTGACACTTTATTTTAAAAAGTGTCTGTTACATGTACTTACTGAAGTGATAACAATAAATGTGGCATAATTATAAGTAGCTAACAGTAAACCAAACACTAATTCTAATCTTATATTAAGTACCTTGTTAATTAATATAACTCATTACTTAATTGTAATTGACACTGTAACAAGGACACCTTAAAATAAAGTGTAACCAAATCATGCCATAACTAAGGTATAGCTGCTTTGCAGTTGAAGCACCTAGTCTACAGTTAGTTGTGTAACGTGTGAACCATAACGTCACCAATGCAGCTTTAAATGTGTACAAATAATGAGCAAACATCTCACACATAACCCTTCCAATAATATCCATGGACAGTGATTAGTTGAATAGATTAGTGATTCATGAGTATATTTGAGGTCTTTTCACACTCACGTATTGGGACCCAATAGTAGCAAGATTTTGGACGAAAATTGGTCCATAAAAGTTCGTGTCACACTTTTAATTTAGTAGCAGGGTTAGCACCGCTTTTACCCAGGGCATGGATTGTGCACTGATAGAATGTTATGCCTAGATACTTAGCAGCTGACAGCCAATCGTGTGCATATCCACATGGTTTAGACAGTCATGAAAACACTGCTCATTGTATGAACAGTCATTGGTGATTGAAATAGTGACATAAACCTGAATAGGAGTAAAGAAGAGACTGCATTATTCTTACCTTTACAGTCCACTGAAAAGGCCATTCAGGAAAAACTTGATAGTATGGAACGTAGAGTATAATACGAGGAGCCATTTAATGCTGTGTTTGTCCAATCAATGGCACTGACACCACAAAAAAGAATGCACAGTGTGAATGGTCATCTTATGAATACCCAGTATTAATTGTTAATTGAGCGATGTGAAACAAGAATCAAGATAGCCCAGGATTCCATTTACACCAGGGTTTTTAAATGACCCAGGGTTAACTATTTCAAATGTGAAAAGCCTTTTTGTGTTTAACAGCACAACAATAAGCAATCGACTGACTGATTTCTTGTTTACAGGAATCAACAGTCTGCTGGGCAGTGGTGTCTACACAGAGGCCTACCCATTGCATGATGTGAGTGACGCCATATTTTGTTCTTCTTCCAGTTTTCTCCAACTGATTGTTAATAATTGATCATTTCATATTTTTACATACAGGGTGATAATGATGGTGTACATGCTGAAACCAATGACAGAAAGGTAAAAGACATTACGATACTCATACTAATATACTAATAATATTTCAATATTTACAATACAACACCTCAGGTTTTGCTTGTATAGAAAAAAAAAAGCTGTCACCATAATACTTATGAGTTCTAATACCTCACTGTTTCCTCACTATGTTAGCAACTGTCCTCCACATTAACTGAGTGACCAAATAATCTTTGAAGTGACCCCCGTCAGTAGTGTTTAAGGACTACATATGTGACCCTGGACCACAAATCCAGTCTTAAGTCGCTAGGGTATATTTGTAGCAATGGCCAACAATACATTGTATGGGTCAAAATGATAGATTTTTATTTTATGCCAAAAATCATTGGGATATTAAGTAAAGATCATGTTCCATGAAGATATTTTGTAAATTTTCTACTGTAAATATATTAAAACTTAATTTTTTATTAGTAATATGCATGGCTGAGAACTTCATTTGGACAACTTTAAAGGCAATTTTTCCAGTATTTAGATTTTATTTGCACCCTCAGATTTTCAAATAGTTGTATCTCGGCCAAATATGTTCCTATCCTAACAAACCATACATCAATGGAACGTTTCTTTATTCAGCTTTCAGATGATGTGTAAATCTCAATTTCAAAAAATTGACCCTTATGTGGTTTTGTGGTCCAGGGTCACATATTTGGTTTGTGCTGTATACACTGTTCTGAAAAAAAAAAAACTGATTTGAATCATGCAAAAAATGGATTTGGGACACATTTATATTTTTTATGTTTGTTTTATATTACAATTAAGAAAAAAAAAAAGAAAACTATAGTAATATGAATAAAACATTTTAATTAATTTTAGTGTTATAGTCAATTTTATAATATATCTTTCTTACTTACTGTAACTGATTTCTCAGTTACTAATATTAATTATAAATATATGATACTGTGCATTATTTTGTATCTAGTGGTATTGATACAATTAAATATTACCAGGAATAAAATGTATGTAGAGGAAGCAGGACACTTTCCTTAAAACACAAATTAAGATATTTCTGAACGTGTTTTAACAGGTTAATCAAAAATATTTTTCTTTAGATGAACATTATGGTGACTGCAATTTTTGAAGTGTCGGGCAGCACACAGAAACTGCTGCCTTTGTACCTAGGGTGATAGGAGATAATGAAGGCATAATTCAGAGATTTGCAAGGCCAGAAAAGTGCCTGCAATAAGGTTTCCAGCATTCAGATGAGATCAATCAATCGGATATATAAAGTGATAAATTCTTCCATTCCAATCTCTAATCTCTGTGTTCTTCACTTTACCATCTGTAGAGAAAAGAGTTGTTATCATTGAATCCTCTCTACATCTGCTCTCTTAGACTGTTTTGCATTTTAATCAATACATTTAAATTCGTCTGAATATTTCTTGAACCCCGTTTTACCTGTTTGAACACTTTTATGGCATACTGTAAGAATCTGGTAATTTAATCTCATGTTGACCACTTAAGATATAATTAAACCCTATAAATGGGCTGCAAAATCCTAGTTTGTGTAGAGGAGACCTGGTGAGACTCTGGACTTGCCTGCAGCAAGCTCAGAATAATTGTCAGGTCACCAAGGCAACAGGATCATTTCCCACTTCAGCCATCTGTGAGCAGCGGTTATTTTCAAGAACTAAAAAAAAAAAGAGTAAATGTTTCATTTTTTTCACAGCAAACCTCAAGGGACCTTGGAGAGAGTGGGTGTTTTGGTTCGTTTAGTGTGTTAATTTGCGTGCAAATACAGTAGATGCATCACAGGTTCATAAATATATTAAGCAGCACAACTTGTTTCAAACTTTGATAATAAATCCGTATATTAGACTGATTTCTGAAGGATCATGTGACACTAAAGATTGGAGTAAAGGCTGATGAAAATTCTGCATTGCATCACAGAAATAAATTATATTTTAAAGGGGCCATCGAATGCAAAATTCACTTTTGTTGTTGTTTGAACATAAATGCGTGTTTGAAGTGGGTGTGTACACATCCCCCCTATAATGATAAAAATCCACCCAGTGTTTTCTTTTTAAATCCCTATTTTAAAATCCCCTTTCTCAAATCAGGCTGTTCTGAGATTCCTGTCAGAATGACATAGTTTTGCACAGGCCCCTCCCACGATAGTTGATTGACAAGTCCGTCTTACCTTAGACCCGCCCTGAGTGAGCTGTCATCAGTCCGCCATTGTGTCGACTCCGGTGCAGGGGAAGACAAGAATGTCTCTGATTAAGCGATTGAGGTGTTTTGTTGCTGGATGTAACAATGAATATAGCAGTTGTCATTTTTTGCTGACATCTGAGCCGCTGAAGACAGAGGATTAATGTTACTTTCGTTTTTGAACGGAATTCGCAGGTCCCCGATCTGCCTAAATGCGTTTTAAGTTTGCGCGAATCATTCGTGATCTAGCTTCATCTACAGAAGAAGTGAGTATAGGTTTATAAGGGTTTTTTATGAATCTTTGCAAATCGCCTTTCCTAATAATGTGCTAGTTAGCAAGTTTAACGGCTGAAGTTTAAAATCTGCTCGTCACCCCACGGAAGAGAGGGGCGGGGTCAGCAGAGCTCATTAGCATTTAAAGCAACATGGACTAGAACGGCGTGCTGAAAACAGAGCTGATTTTGACAGGGTAAAAAGGGTGTTTTTTACACTACCATTGAGACATTTTAACCAAAGTATGTTATAGACTTTTCATTAAGACCCTGAAGAATCATATCAACTTGTGGAAAATGGGCATCCGATGACCCCCTTAAAGGATATTAAAATAAAATAAAAATATTTTAAATTGTAATAATATTTCTCAATTTTTTGATCAAATAAATGCAGCCTTGATGAGCATAAGAATCTTATGCTGAGTGGTCACTGCTTGTTTACTTGGTGATCAATCCATCCATTTCCACTAGTTTGACCCATTCAAGGCGATTTGTGGATATGTTGAAAATATAATCCTAATGTGAATGCAACAAGCTCAAGGGAAACAAAACAGACCCTGTCTGCTTCTCAGATTTATCTGTTGGTTCCACTGTTGAATGTTGTTATTAGAGGGTTGTGCATTATTTGATGTCATATTTCATAATGTTTTGGCCTTCCCTCCCTTGCTTTCTCAGACAAAACACTTCTTTTCTTTGACTTAAGTGTGTTCTGGAGACTGGAGATCTCTGTGCAGCTGTGTTGTAAATCTGCCTTCACTTACTCATATAACTGTAGTACATTACATCCCCAGGAGCACCGGACCGAAGTCATTACATTCGAAATTACTAACATGATGGTAGAGAGAGCCTTCATTTGTCCTTTTCATCATTGTTCACTGGAATAATCAGTTATTTTGCCATTTCAATTAAACCCCTAAGTGCACGCACTGTGTATTTCAGCCATGCTGTATGAATGGAAGTTGAATCGTTGTTCCAGGATGTATGTAATTTTAGTTCTGTCTTTGCAGATCTTGTATGAACAGTGGGCGAGTTACAGCATATTCTACAAGTACCAACCCATCGGACTAGTCAGGTATCATCCTCACAATAAATGCACTGCCAGAGGCCGAGACAGATGTTTGCCCTGGAGTTATGATCTATAAAGAAGGGATATTTTAGGAATACCTTACTGACACGCATTATTCAGGAGTCAGATTGCCAAAAGCCCTATTCAGACAGGATTTGTTTAAAGGACACAGTGTAGCTGTGGATGTCTGTAATGTTTATCATCAGGTTATTTAGGATGAGCAATGTCTGGCAAATAAGTGAATATCTGATGTCAAATAAGTCTGTTTACTGCAGGGTCATAGTTAACTAAATCAAGCAATTAAAAAAAAAATCGTTATTTTAAATAATATTAATTGAAATAAAATAAAGAATATACGTATATAAAATATATTATTTGTGCTAGATTTCTAAGGCAACATTTCTGAGTTTTGTTTATCTACTTAAAGTACTAAAATAACTAAAACTAAAGTAAATAAACTCAAACTAATTTTGGAAAAGAAATAATAAGAGTAAGCTGTAATTAAAATATGTTCTTTATACTTATTTCATTACATAACATGACATTTTTAGAATGAATAGAATTTAATCTTTTGTTGACGTAACCTTTCATTGCACATTGAAAAGACTGAAAATCAATTTACACTCTATTTTTTTCTGATGTTTACTACATAGTAATTGACACTTCTTTTGCTTGACTTCATTGTCTTTATTGCTCTACTTGAAACTGCTTTATCTCTCTCAGGAAGTATTTTGGTGAGAAAGTGGGCCTGTACTTTGCCTGGCTGGGAGTGTATACTCAGATGCTAATCCCAGCAGCAATCGTGGGAGTCATTGTGTTCCTGTACGGGTGTGCCACTGTGGACGACAACATCCCCAGGTCACCTTATGAAATTTATTTGATTGGTTTGTTTGCATTGTTTTTGTACAAAGAAACAAGTTTCAGCAGTGTCTCCCAACAGCAGTACATACTCTTTTGCAATGGCTTTAAGTAATCACTGTTGCCCTTTGCAAGAATAATGGATGGATGTTGAAGCGTGTGGTAATTAGGGAGTTCAGAGTGGGTTTGAAATGGTGCGACTGTAATGGACTGTAATGTAATGTATAATGAGAGTGACTCAGTGTTCGCTGGCCATCTCGCAGCGACATTCATTAATTCCACAAATGCCACAGCTGAAAACAAGCTGTTCCAAAACTTACCTAGGAAAAAATTGAAGCATTATATGGACACCACTGATATGAAGTACTGTATGTTTCAAATAGTAGCCAGCAGAATTATGCTGCTTTTACACTGCAAGTTACACCGCAAGCTTTAATGTTTGCAGAATACCAGTGAATTGCTGTAAACGTCTATCCACAGAAATGGAAATTGTGCACAAAAAAAAATTCACATTAAATTTACTGCATGTACAGAGATTAAGTTTGTGAGAAGCAGCATTTACTGTTAACTGAGATGCTTTGATGATATTAAAATAAAAACTGTAATCTGTAACACAATGCCGCTTTTTACTCTGAAACAGGCAGTGCAACAGACTATTTAGTTATCTAATTAAATTGCAGCCTTTAATTTGATAATAACAGCCATTTATTTATTTTAATCTTACATTTGATTTAATTTTTAGCTTTTAATTGAACTCCATGCAATTCCCTCACAAACCCCCAGGGGTTATAATTAAATAACACTGTGAAACTGTAATCAAATACAACGTTGAGTTGCCAAAATATTATTTAAATTTTTAAATTATTGATTTTAGTTTTTAGTGTTTCATTTGTAATTTATTTTGACATTTTCTTATAATTTCTTATAATTATCGGAAGTAGTTAGCATAGCAACATGCTAAAGCATGAGTGCCCAGTTTCTTATGCATTTCATGTGAAGATCACTATTTGCGCAGTGCATACAGTTGCTGCTTTTGTAGAACACTTCATATTAGCCATCACATCTATTTAGACATCAAAGCAACTCACTATGTTTTGGAACAAGAATACAGAAGCTGAACACAGAATAAATGTGTTTTCCTTCAGAAATAATAAAAGCTAACGAGATAAAAGCTAAAAAAAATATGAGGGGAAAAAATACACTGCAGCCTTAATTAATAGCTTTACAGAGAAACATTATGGTGTCTAGGGAAACTTGGAGACGTGATGCATTTCTGAAATCAGGTTTTCTTCTTTGTGTACTCAGTATGGAGGTCTGCGATGAGAGAAACAATATCACCATGTGCCCAATGTGTGACCGAGCCTGCAGCTACTGGAAACTGGTCACGGCTTGCGGCACGGCTAGGGCCAGCCACCTGTTCGACAATGCGGCCACCGTCTTCTTCGCCATCTTTATGGCACTATGGGGTCAGCAGCTCTGTTCTCCTTTCATGTTCACCCGCACGCTTTGTTGCTGCTGTAAACCAACTGTTGTGTCTCTACATATTGAGGACAGACTTGCTATGACAAATACTGAAGAGATTTGTGCCCTGGTTTTACACTTCTCTTTAATTCCCCCTGTAATCATCCCCGCTCAAATGCTGAGCTTCTTAAAAAGCTGATTATTTTGGCCCTAAATTTGCTTTTCCTGTTTTAATCCCCTACAGTTACAGGCTTTGAAATGAAAAATGACACTCTATGACAAGGCTACTTGCTAACTTGAATCCTCTTTAAAAGATTTAAAGTGAGCCATTTTTAAGTGAACCAGAAAGTGAATCGAGTGGAAAGAGAATCCAGTTCTTTTTGCATTTATACTGCTGAGCTTGAAAGTGGGTTCAGATCTCTTTTTGTTTCACTTTTGTTGTGATCGGTTCTCAATCCACTTTCCATTTACACTGACGTAAAGTTAACTGTATTCAGAGCACTTCCTCAGATAGTTTGGTTTAGTTCTCTTTAAAGGGGTCTGAGGTTGTTGTGAACATTTACATATAAGCTAAAATTGTAAACCGGACTCAAATGGTTCAAATTAACCAAGTGTGAAAACACCATTAGAATAGATTCCCGAAAAAAGGTGTTACAGCCCAATGTTATAGGAGAACCTTCCATGGTTCCTAAGAAAAACACCTATGTATTAGTGATATCCAAAGTTACAAGGTATGGAAATTAATGAAAGAATATCGAAAAATAATTATTTTAGCATTCAGACTCAGATCTCTTTCTGGTTCACTTTGGTTGTGATCGGTTCTCAATCTACCTTCCGTTCATACTGGCCTAAAGTGAACTGCATTGAGAGCACTTCCTTAGATGGTTTCAAGTTCTCTTTTAAAGGGATCTGAGGTTGTTGTGAGTGTACACACATAAGCTGAATTTATGAACCAGACTCAAACACAAAACAAACTGTGTGAAAACACCTTTAAAATACAAGTTCCCAAAAAGTTTTACAGCCTGATGCTATTGGAGAACCTTCCATGGTTCTTTAGAAAACATTTATGTGTTAGTGATTTATGTGTTAGCTGACCTAATGTAAAGTGTATTCAGAACACTTCCTCAGATGATTTCAGTTTAGTTCTCTTTAAAAGGGTTCACACATAAGCTAAAATTGTGAATTGGATTTAAACGCTTAAAACAAAATGCATTCAAATATAGGTTCTTAAAAAATTTTTTTACAGCCTGATGGTTCTTCCATGGTTCTTCAGAGAAAACATTGACGTGTTAGTGATTTCCAAAGTTACCAACCCTAGAAATGAATGAAATAAGAAGGAAAAATATTCTTGATAAGAAGAGGGCATTCTTGGGTTTATTTATTTTTTTAAAAAAGCCCCTGAGAAAGTACAGGCTTCATTTGTAGCTATAATAACTGAGAAATCGCCCTGATCAGAGCTGAGCCGATCAATAAGTATAAATGTGGGTTTGTTAGTGAAGGTTACTGCTCTGTGTCACACAGCCACCATGTTTATGGAGCACTGGAAGAGAAGGCAAATGAGGCTCAATTACATCTGGGACCTAACCAGCTTTGAAGACGCCGAGGTTAGTCACACACACCCATGTTGACCAAGAAAAGTGTCAATATAAGACATTTGACGTACGTGTTGATAAGATAATTATGTGGGTTTGTATATGTCTTGTAGGCGCGCTTCAGTTGTGTAGACTTGTGTTATCCTGAGGCTTGGGTGTAAAGAATTAAACATGTCCTTTTTTATTGATTCAGTGCCATGAAATCAAACTTGTTTTTTCACTGTTTGTTTTTTTTGTCCTGTTTTGTATAGGGAAAACAAAAGGTTTGGAATCGGTTCATTCGCAGTATTAACTAAATGTATTTCCTTCCTAGCCTAACAGTTGCATTTTAGTACTAACATATTCTTCATATTATCTTAAAAGTCGTCTTCAAGCATCGTCGTCACATTCTTGCTTGTGTAAAGTATTCCACCAGCACTTATCTATCTATCGGTCTGTTGCTGTGGAGGTCTGGGAGATTCCTGTTCTCTCTTCCTCCGGCCTTACAGGTCAAAAGCTGCTCACTTTCCTTTCGGCAGTCACAGTCTTTCCAGGCTTGCCACTGTTTATGTGGGTAAAATAAGCAAGAGGAACGACTAAAACCTAAAGCTGCTGAATGTGGAAAGGAATATGTATTTGTGGTGCTGAGAGCTTTTGGTTTTAAGGATTATACTTTCACTGATTGTCACTGTGTTGCTATTACCAGAATTTCTGTTCTGTTCACTGATCATACACATGGCTGCTCTTGGCTCCATAACCGGTTATCTCTTTCCGCTGTTTTTCACTTTTAAACTGGTTTAAGTCCTGTATATGTTGGGAATTGTTTTCTCTGTTTTTCCCAGAGTCACCCGAGAGCAGAGTATGAGTTCCATGTCATGAAGAAGTCCTTGAAGAAAGAGCAATCCCCAAAGGTAGGTCTTTATGAATCTAAGCTTCAGATGAAAAAAAAAACTCTCAAACTCACCATTCGCTGACCATCTGCTGCAATCTCTATTGCAAACAGAATTGCCAATTGGATTTACACAATGTCTAAAAGTCAGGGTGGTTAACATCTCCAAATAATAATAATAATAATACATGTTTACAACATAGCTAGCGCAATTATGTATTAAAAACATTTAAATTTGAAGACATTTTAACCCTACATTGTTATGACAGATTTAAAGTAATATATTTCAGTGTGGTTCGATTTTGTAGTTAAATTATATGGTATTGTATTATACTTTAATTTGACTTAAATCATTTTAATTATACTTTACATTTAATTCATTACATTTTAAAATTATTATGAATTTTCATCAACCATTACTCCAGTCTTCACTGTGTCCTTCATAAATCGATTATTATTTACTTTTGAAAAAAGGTTCTTATGTTGAAAACCTTTATTCTTTTTATCAGTGTTGAAAAGTTTTTTTGCTGCTTAATATTTTTATAGAAACTTTTTAAATAATAGTGGATCATGGTTTCTACAAAAATATTAAGCAGCAAAAACTGTTTTCAACATTGATAATATCATGAAATGTTTCTCGAGCACCAAATCAGCATATTAGAATGATTTCTGAAGGATCATGTGACACTGAAGACTGGAGTTGTGACTGCTGAAAATCAGCTGTGCCATCACAGGAATAAATTATATTTTAAAATATACTGAAAATCTAAATTTTTCAATATATGTTTCACAATATTACTGTTTGTACTGTCTTTTCCATCAAATAAATGCAGCCTTGGTGAGCATATGAGACTTCATTCAAAAGCATTAAAAAGAAAGAAAATGTAATTTTTTTTCGAAAATTTTGACTGCCAGTACTGCCACATGAAATAGCAAACTGTTGTTTGTCATTTTACATGTTGATTAATAGGCCCCGTCTTGTCCAAGTGGGTTGTTCTTGGCTAGAATAATCTACAATGTGGACCAGACCATATGCTAATGAATCATTTTGGCTTAATTTGTAGTGTCTGGCACAACACAGGCAATGCTGATTCTAGCTGTATTTTTGTCTGTTGGCTTATGCATGCCATCCTTGCTGTCATAAGGATGTCTGGATTATTGGGTATTACGTATTATGCTCAGTAGATGTTGACCCAGTTGCAGTATACTGAATGTTATGTGACAGCACAGCTGTGAGGCATATCTAGGGGCTTGGTTTTGCTCTACTTGGCTTGACCCTCTCTGTCCCTTTGGAGGCCAAAGCATGCTGGAGGCCTGCGTCTACACATCTGATTTTTGACCAAGTTCCTGTTGCAAGATGTAAGTGTTAGGGTGTGTCTGGATTATATGTTCTGATCTCACATTTGACAATTCATATCTTTTTCTAGGCAGGAAATGTGAAGCTGACATGTAGAGACAGAATGCCAGCATACATGACTATTATCGTCATGATGATTTTTTTGGTAAGACCTGATTTATTTAAATTTTTTTTCATTGTGTGTTGTACGTAGGTTTTTTAATATGACAATAAATGAAAGGAATTTAATGCTCAGAACATTTTTTTGTAGTTAAATGTTCCTTATTTTCAACAACCAGGTAATTTATTTTATTTTGAAACCACATGAGCAGACAAATACTGCTCACTTTATTATCCCTCTATTAGGGCTGTGCAAAAAAATCGAATGCGATTTTCATGCGCATCTCGTCAGTAAAGCCGTTTCTGGTGATTAGTAGTAAATCTCCAGCACGTGCTTTCAGGTGGGGCGGCATTTACTACACTTCACTGACAAGCTACACAAAATCGTGTTCAAAATCGGCAGCCTGCGATTTTGTGTAGCTTGTGAGTGATCTACGGCTCTGTGTAGTAAATGCCGCATGAAAATGAAAATCGCATTCGTTTTTTTTGCCCAACCCTACCCTCTATTATCAGAAGTTTTCAGTTGCATAATAAAGTAGTCATGGTGACTTAGATCTGGCTTTCTATAATTGCATTGGTAACCAATACTGTTGTCTTTTGCATGATGCTGTATCCAGTCTCTGTTGCTAAATTATTTGATTACAAGTACATTTTCTTACTTTGTTCGTTTGTGTGCTCAATGCAGATCTTTGTGACCTTGGCCATTGTGTTTGGTGTGGTGCTATACAGGGTCTCCATTATGACTGCCCTGCACATGAGTTCCACTCCCACGTTCCGCACTAATATACGGGCCACCGTTAAAACCACTGCTGCTATCATCAATCTCATTATCATCATCATAATGGATGAGGTCTATGGAGCAATTGCACGTTGGCTCACTATTATGGGTACGTCTGGTTATTGACTGCAAGACATTTAGTTTGCCAGATTTGTTGCAAAACATGTTTACAGAGCTTGCTGTTGTTTTCAACCTATCAGAGGTGCCAAAAACTGACAAGAGTTTTGAGGAGAGGCTAATCTTCAAGACATTCATATTGAAGTTCGCAAATGCATTTACCCCTATTGTGTACCTGGCATTCTTCAGAGGCAGGTGAGAGTATTGGTACCAAGGAGTCACTCTGAAACTGAACGGTATGAGATACTTGGTTATTAACAAATCTACAATAGGATTTCCATTTGTTAGAGCGACAAGCTCTGTTCCCAAACCTAGTGAGCTGTCCTGCTGTCTAAGTGACTGATTTGGAACGAAGTACAGTATAGACAGCTGCTCCTTACAGATAGTGCTTCTCACATGGAAAACATGAAAGATATTGATGTTAACGTGTTGCTAAGCTAGTAGATTTTGGGTAAAATACTGGGAGTAGGTGTGGTGTGTTAGGGGTTACGTGGGTACACTTAATGTCACCACACTCTGGATCATTTGCACAGGTAGTGCATATAGGAAGGTTAGACCATTACAGTAGTCCTGTCTGGAGATGACAACAGCCTTGAAAAGGAATTCACCAACGTGCTTTATTCTCCAATTCATGTATCTGGATGATATGTCCCAGTGATTGTTGTGTATACTGAAAAGTGTAAGGGGCTAAATACTGAGCCCTGGGGTACCCCCATGGATAGTTGATGTGATTTAAATCTTGCTCACTTCTCAGATACCTTATAAATAGTAGAGTAAGATGATTTACACTTGCAGACGTATCCAGCAGAATGAAGACAACTAATCTAGAGGCAGGTTTTGCCAGCCGCATGGCTTCAGTGACAAGGTCTCTGATTAATTTCTGCTTTTGAGTTTCTGCTTTTGAAAATACTTATGCTACTAATTTCACCAGGAACCTTCGATTACTGCCATTTTCTCTCAGAAGTTTGGTCTCACGAAGAACATCAGATGTTCAGGGGTTAGTGGGCGTTTTGCGCAAACAGGCCTGGAGGAGAGAGGACAGATGCTGTCTAGACAAGATGTTCAAGTGGATTTAAATGCGTTATTTACATAAGAGAGGAGGAGCTTTTAGCTGGGTGAACAGAGGTGGGCGATCATAGAAACAAGTATGAGGGAGTGGAGGTTATGTTGAAAGAAAACCAGCGAAGAGTGTGCAGCAGGCAAGGTGGAAATCACAAATGTGCAATGGAGTAACAAGGACATTGTCTGTGGTACAGTTACTTGTGTAAATGAGGCCCGGTAGGTTTCCTGATTTGTAAGTTGGTAAATTGTTGAGGTCAAACAATGCTAGGAGAGCTTAGAAGGACACAGTATGAGGTTTATCCGGGGTGAATGTTTAATTAACCAAGAACCACAGCTGGGCTGCCATCTTCAGGGTAGGAAGATAATAGCACATTATGAAAAGTTCCCCAGCTGACATATAGGCTGATATATAACAAACAATACAATTTTGTCTTAGTAATTGCATGCAATTCAAAGGGATTATTGAGAGCCGATTATTTGTTTACTCCTGACTTGCAGTTTGATTTGAGGAGTAAGTTGCAAATAGCTGACAGACTTGTCATATTGCATGGTGAACAACAATCAACACATAAAGGAGAAAAAAAGGTAGAAATAAATGCCTTGCTGGAGTCCTTTTTCACTGGACGTGCACTTGCAAATTATTACACAAGTTCTTTTAAAAAAGGAGGGCTTCACATGTTAAGGATAGTTTGAGTGCATGAGTTAGCAGCAATTAAGTGAAAATAGTTAACGCCTTTTAGATTAACAATACAAAGAATATAACGTCAAAGGCTGGCAAAAATACTGCAGGACGGCTGCCGCCCTACAGCACCAGTGCAATTAATACATATCAACACGAACGACTACTGTAATTTCTAGCAACACATAATACTCTAAACAATAGAAACAATGTATTAGACATATACTTACTACTGCAGACTTCCATTGACAAATCACATTGATGCTCTCTTATGTTGCATTCACAGTGAGTCACTGCATTCTTGGTTTCTAGTTAGCATTCCTACTCTTCAGCGGTATCCAATTGTATGAGGCAGTGATTCCATCTTCACTCTCTTTGGTAGTCCCCACATCTTTTCACTAGTCATACTCCACTCAACTTTGTCACTTCACTAACAAATTGTCACCTGAAGTTGGCATTGCTCACTAAAAGTAAAGGATGGCTTGTGGCTTTGTCACTGTGTATGGCTGCCAGTGTGAACACACCTTTAGAATTTGGCCAAAATTAGGTCTCGTCATAGTATAAATTAGGTATCATTCTTGCTGGAATACACATGGAAAAAAAGATAATTGCGATTTTTATAATAGATTTTTTTTCTTGCAATTGTGAGTTTTCATTTCACAATTTTTACATCTCGCAATTCTGTTTTTTTTTTTGTTTCCACCATGTAATAAAAAAAATAATAAAGATAATTGCAACTTTTTATCTTACAATTCTGTCTTGTTTCTTGAATTTGCGAGTTTTTACCTTGCAATTCTGAATTTATATCTCTCAGTTCTAAGAAAGAAAAGTCCAAATTGCGATATATAAACTTAGAATTGCAAGAAAAAGTCAGAATTATAAGATAAAGAGTCGCTATTACCTTTTTATTTATTTATTTTAACCCGTGACAGAAACAAGCTTTCATAAACACCAGCTTAGACCATCATCATTGAATTTCTGTACCCCTCCATGCTGGTTCATACAAAATAGTGCTGGCTTGGATCCACATCTGTTCATTAGCCAAAGATGCTGGTCTACCTGATTGACCAAGGAAGTCCTGCAGAGTAGACTGTGAAGAAGCTGGGTGGAGACACTAAAACATTAGCATTAAAAGCACAACATACATGTGACGTACAGTATGCTTCTGACCAATATAATATCGCTCACTAGGTTGTGGAAAAGAGCTACCCCCACCCCACTTTGGCTGTAATGTCTAGTTTGTGAATTTTTTCACTTGCATTTGTGCAGCGGCTGGTAAACACAGCTATTGACCTTCTTCTATCCAATGCCTCCAGAATCATTGGACGTCCTGGCAAATATCTCTACGTTATGGGGTCTTACCGAATGGAAGAGGTACATATCTAGCATTCAGCTTCCTCCTTTTAAGTGTGTGTCATTGGTGGTTGGTGCTATATTCAAGAGTATAAGCCATAAAATTGATTTCACAAAGATAAATGACGAATCTCATTGACCAACTGGTGTACACGTGTATATGTATAAGCAAAATCTATTCTTAACCACACGATATTCTTGGAGTCTTGTACCCACATCATCATATGAAAAATAACTTGGCAGATTGTCCTAGTTACCTCACTCTTGATGACTAACACTTTCGGAGGTGTGTAGCCAGTCAACTCCATAGTAACTGAGTGAAATCTCTCTCTGTTTCACCCTGCAGTGCGCCCATGCCGGCTGTTTGATGGAATTGTGCATTCAGCTCTGCATCACCATGCTTGGCAAACAGCTCATCCAGAATAACCTGTTTGAGATAGGCGTTCCGTGAGTAGCAAACACATGTGTAGATGAAGGAAATCTGATAAATTCCCACTATCCATTATAGGTGTGGTGTACATTTCTAGATGATTGCTTTAGGGAATTATTGTACTTTGACGAGAGCATTGTATGAGCCTTTTTTTTTTCTTCATGAAAAGAGTTTGCTGACCTTTTTTGTGTCTTGCTTGCAAATACATATTATGTTTCTCTTGGACAAATGCAAATATACTGGATTGTAAGCACATCTCAGGCAAATGCCTCTGAAGGTAGTACATGGTAAAAGAAATGCATGAGCAGGTCCAAACAGAATCTCCAAAGTTTTTCCACATTTCCTGATTTTTGGGGGAAATGTGCAGAATCCAATGTGCAGAAGAGTCTGAGGTCACATGTCACAGTTTCCGGGTCCAAGTGCTCCTTCAGATCCCAAAACCAACTCATGGTGTGCTGTACTACCCAAAAATTTCTATAGCAAAATCTTAGCTGGCCAAACAATGATTTCATTTTTATATTAAAATATTGGTCACCGGGATGTCATGAGATAGATAGGCTACTGTATATTGTGCCTGTGACGTGAGGTTCAAATTATTTAATATATGTTAAAAGAATACATATACAACAATACAAAATATTCATCACATTCCAAAGTTTTTAAATCCGCTCACTGATGTGT